AAAAAAAATTGAATTGATTTCAAAGACAGTGGGAAACTGTAATGGACAATTTGCACCATTTTCAGACATTTTATAAACACTTACAAAACAAATAATTGACAGATTAAATCTCAAATCAAAGTTGTAGCCCAATATTTATCTGTTGGCTTTAACTAACATGTTCCAATTTAATGTTACAAGACCAACAGCAGACTTTTTTGTACCACCTGATAAAATTTTAGATGCATTTCAGATGTCTGGAACCATACTACAAAGTCCCAGTGCTCAAGGGCAGAAGAGATTGGGCACAAGAAGTCAACATGAGAAAGAGAGGAGAGCAGCACACCCGTTTAGCATTATTGACAAAATATTGATTGCTTGTGTAGGCATCACCATGGAGATTATTAGAGAGGAATGTTGGACTGATAAAGTTATGGGCCATAAATTCCTTTACGAAGTAACAGGGTTGGTTAATTAGCTGCTTAAGACTAAACTGAGATCAAAGGTAAAGCAGTGAAAGCAGGTTGTAATTTGGTCGGTCTAGTTTTCTGCTACCAGGAAATAATGCAAAGAGTAGAAAGTGCTTCCAGTGGAAATGCAGACAAAGCATGTTTCCCTCCATCTCTTCTACCAGCTCTTTTGTCTTATGTGACATCAAATGAGATGCTCCACTAAGTCTTAACATGGATAGATGTTCGGAGGTCTTATTCTCACTCTGTATATGGGTGTGTGTATTTGTGGGTGTGCTGTGAAGTGAAGTCTTCCCCTTTGCTCTAATCCACCTATTTTGTTTCGGTCCTCTGTTCAGATTCAAGGTGGAAAAGTGCCGAGACGGCAACGTTTTGCCTTCTCAGTCTGTCTGGCCCACTGCGCTTCACCTGCTGAGCCCAGAGACTCACCAAGCCTGAAGGACACTGTTGCTTTAACCCTGTCCCCAAGCATGTCCCTGGCCCGCATAAAAGCCATCTGGGGTGCGGCTGAGAGCTTTAGCAACAAAATAACTCTTTCAATCTGCACTCTGCATGGTTCTGACTGCAGGGCGTTGAGGTCGCCAATACCAAGACTCTTACTGGACTGCCTCCTCCTTCTCCTCCACCCTTCTAATCCTGGCCTACATGACTGACTCCAACTGAAAGCACCACACGCCAGAGGTGGGAGCCAAAAGCACTGTGAGATTCAAAAAAGACCACCTGCTCATCAAACTAAATTGCACTCACTGAAGGCAATGGGGGATAGAGAGAATGAAAAGGAGGGGAGCAAGAGGGAAAAAAATAAGCAAGAATAAAAAGAACGACAAGTCACTGCTCTCCCCCTGTGATCTTGGCAGACAAAAGAACAAATTACATTTCTGCGTCATGCCACCCGAGGGTCAAAATCGGCATAGGGTCCCTCTCTGTGCTGTCTGAGTGTGAGCATGTTGATATAGGTTCCATCAGTTCCCGCAAGAGAGCCAGAGAGGTGCCCAGGACTACCTTTCAGCCTTTCATCTTGGCTTCTTTTGTATTCCGCTACACTTGTGTCTGTTGTCTCTCTTCTCTATTGGGCAGAAATGACTGTTATTATTCCAAACAGCATTATCTTTATTAATGCCACAGGTCTCAGGACTGTGCACTCCCTGGGACCGGGTCTGGAAAGAGCTGAAACCAATCTCCCTAGATAAAAGCTCAGCGGAGAGCTGTATGCAAGCCAGACAGCTCGGACAGGCCTTCATCCTCCCTCCTCATTCTCGGAGAGAGGTATAGGCCCTACAAAGACTAAAATATGGCTTTAATCTTAGCACTTTCAGTCAGACAGAAACATTTGAACTGAGAGCAGCTCTCTATAAAGCTATCAGAAGTCCCTTCGGGTTGTTAGCCACTAGTCAGAACAAAACAATTGCATTATTAGTAAATACATTTTTATAATATTTGAAAATTGCAAAAAAGAAAATATCCATAATGAAAAAGTTTCGAAAGCCTGGAAATTGAGGGGAAAGTTTTGGAGTCACAAACTGTTCAGGTTATAAGTCATGAAACTTTATCTTCTGGTGCTACTATTTTATGAGTATGCCCTCCGTTTCTGCTGTGGCTTATATTGTTGATGGCTCGTATGTACTTGGAGCTTCGGCCGTTTCCCGAAGTCAGCCATGCATGACGAGTTATTTTAAAGGTGGTGTGGAGAGTTGACGTGTGGCCAGGCCAGGGCAGGGCAACGGCTGGGGCCTCGGCTTAGTGCCTCAAGCCCCCTCGCTCCAGTGGTCACACAGCATCAGCTCCCGGCCCGAGCCCGGACACTGATTTATGGGACAGGGGGATTACCATCAAACCAGCCATGAGGACCACCCAGATGGTGGCACAGGACGACAGCCGCACAAACACACAGGCACACACGCACACAAATTCAGATATACTTGTACATTGACACAAACACCTTTTAACACAGATATCCACAGGAATCCAATCAAATTCTTTGCTATTTGAAATGTTAAATAATAAAGATTAAAAACCTTCCAAACATGAAAAGCTGCACATGCCATTTGTAATGGCTCTGTTAACCACTCAAGTGCAGTGGGAGGGCTTAGTTTGCTCAGGCTTCCTCATTACCACAAAGAGAGAGAGCCAGCTTTGCTCATCAGGGTTCATATGTGTCCACAGGATGTGTCTGGTTAGAAGTAATTCCACTCAATAACGTCATACGATTTATTTATTTTTTCTCACTTCAGTTTACCTAATGTACAATTGAAGAGTGACTACTTGTGTAATTTTCTATCTCAACTGAGCCAGGTCCAAAACAAGAGCCCTCCATGTAGTTACAGATGGGGAGCAGAAGCCAGACTCAAACTCTGGCTTTCATCAAAACTTCTTTAAATTCTTTTTAATTGGTAACATTCAACTTGATCGTGATGTTTAGTAACTCCACTTTCCACTTTTCTCGATGCAGGTGAACTCTTTTCTCATTTTCATTCCCAATGCATTTACCATCCTTAATACTTTTCCACCAAGTCACATTTTCATCCAAGAGCATGTGCAAATACACTGAGCAAAAGAGGGAAAAAAAGAAAGAAAAGCACATATTTCTCACTTGCCAGGGCACAGCACAACTCAACCTCAAGGCACCAGTTGGATGAGCTCAACAATAAGAGTCAATGACAAATCGGACGTGGTGCATTCCTTGGGCAAACACTCACTTCATAAAAAGGGAGACAGGTAGGCAAACACTCACCTGCCCTAAGCTAATAACATGTGTGGAGGCAAACACACACACTGACACATGCACACACTTGAGTTTGTCAATATGTTGAGAAAATGATGGGAATTAGACTGTGCAAAACTGTGTCAGTTTAAAGATAGGACTAGATTTGCTGAGAAAAACTAAAGGACAAAAAATCCCATCTCAGAGAGAGCCATGTGTAGCATTTTTCATAACAAAATCACCATACCGAAGAGGAATGCAAGAGATCGGTGCCTCTCTGTGCTGCATTATAGTGCTATGTGAAGCATGGAAATAGACTGGTACACGACTATAATGTATATGATAGGCCCGCTCTGTTAAGCCCAGCTCTGTTTAGGGTTTCTCTTAATCATTGCGCTGCAAAAATAAACAGAAATGAATTATTTTAACTAAGGCCATCACAGTGGCTGCAGGAGGAGGATTTAAACGGCTTACACCGAATGTATTTTATAATAAGTTGCACATTATAAACTGTACATAGCCTCCTGAAAAGTTGTGTGGATGTGTGTGCACATGCATTTCTGATTGTGTGTGAGAACATTTAAAAATGCCTGCATGCTTGTGTGTCAGGAAATCACTGATGACTGTGCTCACTTTCCTACCAAATCACACACATTTTCCCTGAAGGCCTTCTGTCCCAGCAGAGCAGAGTAACCCTCCAGTGACAGCACCGATTCGCTCAGTGGGACGCACCCTCAACACTTCCTGGCCATGTGACACCCTCCAGCTGCCTTCTGATTGGGCACTCAGAGGATGAAGAGGAGAGGAGGGTGGTGGCGGTGGAGGGGAGCTGGCTGGCAGCGGACACATGAGAGAAAACAAATTCCTGCCCCATCACCATGGAGATGAGTCAACAGCAGGTCGG